GTAAAAAACAAAATAGGAGTTGTATAAAAACCATTTCTTTCAATTAAAAATAATTTTAAATTTATTCACATAACAGGAAGTGAAAAGATCGGTGATGATAATTATCTGTTATGAATTCAAAAACTTGTGTTTTGTTATTAATGCTTTGATGACTTTTTTTTTCATCCTTTTCTTATTACTCATTTGTCTCAAAATTCTGAGAAAAATAGAATAAGCATGTTTATGATTCTGAGTCAATTTAAAGAAAGTCTTGCGTAAAATATCGCATATTTGGTATCCGCATTCAAGTTAAAAGACAAGTTGCTCGAAGAATACTCTCTTCTCACGAATACTCCTTTCAAAGTTACTAAATGTGAAAATGTATGCAATCCAACAAAGCGAAAATATTGTTCATCAAAAGCCGATTAGTGAAATCGGCAGACACTGATGATCAGCAGGTGTTCACGCGCTCAGGAAGAATCGTTCAACCACCAACGCATCTGTCGATTATGTATGAAATAATTCAAACATTGTAAAGAGAAGGATGTCAGATATCAAGTCGAGGCCCTAAGAGGCGCAGCACTTCCGCCGAGCTGTGAACATGCCACCAAGGCATCTCAGTTCAGTTTGATTAAAAGTTAGTGGTCGTGATCACATCGCTCTGTATTTTGAATCACAGTTCATTTACAATAAAATTAATTCTATCAGCGGCCTGTCAAATTCGTTATTTAATGTCCTGATCTGACACCTCTCTTTTTCCCTTCAGCCCGCGGCAGCTAGAAAAAAAAAAAAAAAAAATACCGACGCCCTTCCTCTTTCGCATTCCCGAGATGGTGTCTTTCACTGAAGGTCTTTGCGGATGACTGGCCAATCGCAGCTTCTGACGACGCGGTGCTTTGATATACCATTGTTTTGAAAACTCTCTTGAGAGTACTTTTTTCCCCCTTGTTAAGTACTTAAGACAGAAATTACACCGAATTAATTTAGGTGTGCGCATTTGAGATCGTGCGAAACCTACGAGCCGCCACTGGTTTGTTACTTAAAGAAAAAACAACCACCGTGTCCAGACATTTTTATTTGCGTTGTTCGCATAAGAGATGTGGATACTTTCATCGATATTTATAGGAACAGGATTACGTCTTTCATGGTAGTAAACCATCGTCTCATAATCTAAATAATAATTTAATGATTATGGGATAATAATAATAATAATAATAATAATAATAATAATAATATATAATAATTAATAATAATAATAATAAGAATAATAATAATAATAATAATAAGTAATAAAAGAAGAAGAAGAAGAAGAAGAAGAGAAAGAAGAAGAAAGAAGAAGAAGAAAGAAGAAGAAGAAGAAAGAAAGCTTCCATTTTGTAAAGTTATGATCGCAATAGTCTGCACACCACTCATTTATTTTCCTTTGCGCCAATATTGGAATTTTCGTTACCTATTTCACACCGACTCTACCTAAATCGCAGCAATACACTGCACAACCAATAATAAAAATACATGGACGGAAATATCCTTACACCTTGAAAAATAACAAACTCTGGAGGCTTCTTCCTTCCGAGTAGGGAACAAGCTAAGTCACTGGAGGGCAAGATCTGGAGAGTACGGAGGTTGAGGGACACAGGAATGTTCTTCTCGGCGAAAAAATGTTCAGCACAAGCGAGTGTGGTTTGTGCCGTAATTCGTTGGTGCAGGAACACCAGTCCTCGCCCATTGTCGTCGCTTCCTTTCTAACCGCTTCGCGCAACCTCTGCGAAACTTGCGCGAATAAGATGACCAATAACAAACCGTCCAGGCGGTACGTACTCATGGTGTACAAACCATCGATGACAAAAACGCAATGATCCTCACTTTGATTTTGGATCTGACCAGCGTGTTTTTTTTTTTTTTTTTTTTTTTTTTTTTTTTTTTTTTTTTTTTTTTTTTTTTTTTTTGGTCTGTCTTGGAGACGATGTTGTTGCCACTCCGATGATTAGGAGTTTCGTCGCGCAGATCGTTAAAGCGAACAACCCGAGTCTCATCACCAGAGACCGATCTGCTGGAGAAAACGTTCACTGTCTCAAAACAGCTCGCCAGCGATTTGCACAGCGAGTGTGCATTTGATCTTGCTCAGCTGCTTTGGAACAAACTTCGCACTGATTCGTCTCATTCCCAAATCGTCGTGGGAAATGGCGTGAATTGAGCCACGTGAAATGCCATCGGTTATGTCAAAAAAAAACAACAAAAAAACGTAATTTCTTACAAAATAGATTTATTCTCATCTCACACCAGTACAGAGTGTCCAGATCCAATAATTTTCCTGAAGATGTACCAGTGTATGCCAAAGTCGCCTTTGCCCAGGGAGATGTCCAAAGTTAGTAGGCGTAGCACCGAAGTATCTGTCCGAGAGAAAGACTCCGTACACTTTGCTGTTCCGTGAACACTGTTCACAATTCACTGATACTGCTGGTAGGCGCTCAACTGCCCTCTGCCCGCCGGGGCGCTGCTTTATAGCCCGCTGGCCAGCTCCCGGTTACGGGTGGCGCCTCCTTTTTCGGTGCCTGGTCGCGGCTGCTGTCGTCGCCCTCTTTTGAGCGGCGACGGTACTAGGTTCCGGCGGTTCTTTCAATGGTGCGCAGTCGACTACTGCACCAACTTCTTGCTCCAACTCTGCAATTGTCGTACTTCGATCATCTCGAATCAGTTGCTCCACCTTTGCAATCGTTTCCGGATGTTGACGGTCTCCCGCTGCGCTCGTCGTCCTCCAACGTCTTTTGCCCTTGCTTAAACCGTCCAAACCAGCCGTAAATTGCGCTTTTCTTTAGCGCTTTATCCCCATAAAGACCTCTGGCGCCTCTGAAGCCGATGTTCCTACTTTGAACATTAACTTGATGTTCGCACGCTGTTCGAAATGCGACATTGCGCCGACCCTTCGACACTTGCGTTTACGTCACAAGGAACTGTGCCAAAACGGCGCACCGAAACCTGGCCAGACCCACAACAATCGTGCCTCTCCTTCCTACCACAAGAGCGGGCACGCTGTGTTATCTTTCTTGTCGCTAGTTCGCCGCCAACAATACGACTCCGGGAACTTTTTGAACGTCTCTCCTAAGTATTAATTCTGTTGTTCATGGAGTAAGTGTACAAGTTTAAAAAATCAAATTTCTGATTTTTGTACCAATGCATTAGAACATTGAGAAATTTCATAGAATTTTGTGAATGGATCCGATTTTTATTTTTTTATAAAGAGATAAGTTCCCCGGCAGAATCCCAAGACACTTGGAATTACATCACATTAGCCTTGACTGGTTGATCAGAACTTGTTCTTGATAGACAGACACATGCAGGTTACTCGATTACTGTATAAGGATGAACAAAAATGTGAGTTTCTCTATTCCAAATTTCTGTAAAACCAACAATTTAAATCCAAAAGTCAATAAAACAAACTTAATTTATTTCCATCATCGCAACAACTTGGATAACACCAATATTCTGCTAATAAATAACCTACCAACCCTTAACCTTTAAGAATTGTTGATCAGACGTACAGTCATTCGAGTCCAGGACATTCATCAGATGATTTCATCACGAATTATTGATTACAAGTAGGACTATTTTCAACGATAATTCCAGCCTAGTAAAACCATGGATTAAACTCATGTTTGACATAACAATAATCAATTTTTTTAGTTATCGAGGCCTGTCATTCCATTTAATGAATATTTTTTCAAACAAGAGAAAATTATTCCAAGCTCAAAAGAATCCTTATAGCCATATATAACTATTCATATGGCACAAACTAAAAAAAACATTTTTTAAGTTAAAACAAGATTTAAGAGGAAGAAGAAAAAAAATCAGGATTGAATCCTTGAAGAAAGATACATTACATATTTGAAGTTATTTTGGGTTATAAAGTTATATGAAGGTATTTTTTAAGTAGCGATAAGCTGATGAGTTGATGCATCTATGCACTGTCAGCTGCTCTGCTACCACAATTCCTGGATAATGACACTTCAGGTACACGTAAGCTTCTGTGGCTCTAGTTCATGACTTCTTGGCTGTCCGGGTGACCCGTTGGACATGGACAGCCAAGTGAATGACGCTTCAGCCACAGAGGTGCTGAGTGGCTGTGTACAGACACCCAATAGATGAAGGATAGGCATGAATACAAAATACTTTTGAAGACAGGAAGCATTAAGGAACACAATTATCAAAAACAATTTTACAAAAGTACAAATATTTTTCTATTTTTATTGTCACAACAAGAATATATAAATTTTCTCTATTTTATTGCACATCTTATTGCAATGATATATATTTTTTTAAGGTACTCTAAACTGGAAAAAAAAAAAAAAAAGATTCAGGTTTTTAAAACAATTCAAAATTGGAGTCACTAGTCCACTTGGCAATGGCCATTAACTGAATTATTTACAGCAACATACAATCATCTGAACAGTGAAAGAACAGTAGGCAGTTGTTAAATCACAAGGGCAACTGCCAGAGCAACTATTAAGAAGAAAAAACATTAATTGAAATACATGTATAAGGTTTGGCTTAAAATTTTTCACAAGAAACATTTGCACACAAAAAAATGACAAAAAAGCGTGTTTGCCCACAAATCATTTCAATGCAGGTGAGCAATTGTGCAAAAAGTATAATATTTTCCTCCTTTTTTTACTATTGTTACTAAGACTGATAAATATTTTTACCAAAATTATCATCCATGGATTTCTAATAATATAAATGTTCTGCATTAAGTCTTCTCTTTCTCTTTTTTCTCCCCCTTTCATTTTTTCACTTCTCTCAATGACTACTTGACACAAACATTCAATTCTTAATTTGCATCATCAAAACACTCATTAAATAAGAATTCTGAGCAACATAAACAATACAAAAATAATTTATATATCTGTAAAACTTAAAAATACATTATATTAATTTGTACACTAATTATTCTCAATACATAAAGAAATAATTACTTACTGTGTCTTACCACTACTTGAGAATAACGTAGCGATTAAGAAATTCAGACACTGTGTTAACACATAGGAAAATCATTGAGCATCTCATTGGAAGGGAAAAATAGGTTCAATCAATGTCATTGTTAGCTGTTAAGCAGAAATTCAAATCAAGTATTATAAAAGAAAACAGCTAATGTATACCTACTTCAATGTACTTCAAAAAAAAAATGGAGAGGCCAAAGAGAATGGAACAAACCCACCTATTAAAACATTTCCAGAAATCACCTAAGAGGAACAAGAAAAAAGACTAATTACAAAAAAGATGGGAATGCCTTAAAGTGTGACTACGGGAATACTCTAACAAAAGAACAGACCATTGGGTCTATCATTAAATAGATGATATTTACAATTTGCAGGATAGAAATTAAATATATTGTTCCTTAAGAAACAATATCTTGTAACTCGTCTAATAAACTTACATCTTTTAATTGTTATTCAATCTTAAACAAATAAAATAAAGAGGATTTTCAATAGCACATCTTGTGTTAATTCTAACTTTGGCAATTATAAAAAATTCTGAAAGCTCAACAAATATGAGATTTGGACCATTTTAAGTTACTGAAACTTCACAATGATATAAAATCTGAGATGGCATTGGTTTCACAGTAAATAGACCTACTAACTGAAAAAGTAAAAAAAATACAAAATAAGCCATGACAATATGAATCAACAAGATAGCTGTCTTTGTAATGATCTAAAGAGTACTTGTAAATTTCCAATAATTGATACTAAAAAATAATTTATGTACCTCAAGTATACTTATAAAATCACAAAAGTATACTTATACAATCAGACATTTTTTAAAGTTTCAGACTCAGGTTCTATTCTTGCCTCATCCAGAATATTTTCACTGACATGCCATAGCCTCAATTTCTGTACAAGGCACATAAATATTCTCTTTAACTATTAATACAAAATAAATTTATTTTTTTAAATAAATATTAACATAAAAGGGGTTTTGTGACGATACAGAAAAATCTGGGATTTTAGAGTTACAATTGTTTTGGTTTTGATGACAATGTGATTTTTCACTTTTGGCGAACAACTTCATTGGTACTCTAAGGCACAACCAAGTATATATGTCAGCCACAAAGACTGTAAGGAGACTTAAGTTCCTGTGTTAGTGGCATGGTGGGGGTATGACAAAAAATTTCACCACCCGATGGCATCACGTGGTGGATGAAGGAACTTACCTCGACTTTTTGCAGCCAATAACGATGCACATACACATACTTGATCAACCCCATCTACACAAAAGTATGTGTAAGTAAGAGTAGATGCTATTGACTTGACACATGAGCTTGGTGGTCACTGGATCCTCCTCCTGGTAGCCTAGGTCCTGGCGATACGTCAATAGCCAAGCGGTGTAGGCAGTGAGGAGACAGGAAAGGCACCTTAAGCCATCCGGACCTTAGTTCGGGTGGTCCTCTGTTGCGTCAGACTTTGTCATAGCAGAGGCTCGATACTCCGGACATAGAGGAGGGACTGGTTCATGATGCATGCGATTTACAATGCTTGGACTCTGGTACTAGCCTCGATAGCTAGTAGATCTGAGCTGGTAGGATGGCCCCACCCAGGCATTGAATGAGGAGGTTGCTGTGAGGGAAAACTGCATTCCGGCGGGATCCTGATACCAGCTTTTAGTAGTTCTTGTGTGGTGGTGGGAAGTTCAGATAAAGTCAATAGGCAATAGATGCTCACCCAGGGAACGTATGCCCTCCTGGTAGAACATGGTAGAACTTGAAGTGGTATCAATTTACACAATGATAGAAGTTTCAACATTTATTTATGGATAATGACACTTTCTCCAAAAAATGTTTTTCATGCATCATGTTCTAGCACTCCACAGTATACAACTTGCACAATAAAAATATATTTTACATGTAATATCATTATATACAAAATATATGTCCAATCTTATGTATTCTCTTCTATTCCTTGCAGATTTACGATATCTTCCTTATGAGCTTTTAAAAGTGCTTCACTAATAGCACATTTGCACCATCGTTTAATCACAGGATCTTGAAGAGCTCGTAGTTCACATGCAACGTGCTCACCATATACCTATTACAAATAAAGACACACAGTATTTACTTATAAATTCAGTATTTTCGCTTACAAGCATTTCCAAAAATAGTAATTTTGTTGGAGTTAATTACTGTTAGTGACTTATATCTACCTATCCATGTAAATATTGTCATCTGGTGGCTTAGAGCGAAGTCGCTCGCCTTTCACAAAGGAGGTGTGGGTTCAATTCCTGTCAAATCCCGGACAATTTCATGGGAAATTTGTTCCAATAAAACCAATTTAGCTGCTTCACAAGAGCTAGTCCAACCCCTGTGAAGTGTTATAAGCCCTACCCCAATCCTAATTTCTTCTCAATTCTGGCCCCCTGGGTAATGACATAGGAGCACGTAGTAGGAGGTCCGCAGGTGAAAATACTACCTGGCAGTCCTTTTAAAAACTGACTGCAACGAGATGTGATGGATATGACAGTGTTAATTAATGGAGAATTACTCCTGTGCTGTTGTTAATGGAGGATTACTCAGAAACGCCCCCTAGGGGCTTCGAGACGCATTTGGTGCATGTATATTGCACTCCGTATTGGCAACCACAGGTGCAGCAGACAAATCTGTTTCTTTCTTATGGTTAGCCAAAGTAGGTTTCATTAATCATCCCTTTAACCCAAAGTATAATTACTAAGTGTGTGCAAGTAGTCCAAGGTGTTTTTTGTGGCCTTTGTATTACCATTAAAATTTCTTTGTTTTTCGTATCTTCAAGAAGCTGATGTCTAATTTTAGTGGAAAACCAATGACTTAATTCCACCGCTGAATCATGCAATTATACTACATTTTCAACCTGGTTCATTGTGACAGCTACACTCATTAACTCTTTAATGGCTTCTAGGAGTATTACATACTTCTCATTCTCTATTGGCAGAATTTCAGATGGATGAAAACTTTAGGTGTTTTTGTAAGAAGTTATTAGCAGGATTATCATTCTGAGATCAATTGAAAGTGTTCTCATAAATGCTAATCCTTTATTGTCAGCATTTGGGTATTCGACTACCCTTTGTACTCCAATTACAATGGAAAGAATAGACTCTTGCACATTTTTCTCTTCGAATTTTGAGAACTAACACTTCAACAGGAGACGCTTTTTCTTGGCTAGAGATGTATAAAGATGGCCTATATCACAAATTCTCCATTACAAACTGTTTGAAATTCCTTATCTTAACAGAAGAATTATAAGTAACAATTTCTTTTGACATACAATTCATTCATGCGATATTCACAGCAACTCTCTACAGCATCTTTATCTTTCGGTCCTGAGACTACTACAAACCAAGAAAAGTGGTAACACTGAATACTTTATGAATGACACCATTAATGGATTAGCTTCTGCTGCAAACAAATATTGTAAAGGTGTTTTTAGACAGTCACTACAAAAAAAGACCCTTTCAGGGATTGCCTAGTGAGCTAAAAGTTCAATTTTTAGCACTAATGCTAAAAGTGAGAAGATGCTCAAGTGTTTTGATAAATCTGTGAAAGCAACAAAGAAAACAAATTACTTTCATCTAACCAGAAGGATCAAAATTACTAAAAAGGCTAAAAGGACAAGGACAAAATGGCAAGAAAAAACCAAAAGGACAGAGAAAAAAATGAAGAGAAGAAAGGCTGTCTATAAATAGTATATGACATATATGGTAAAAATGCTTTTCTTTTGTTGTAGGATTGCACCACTTGCCCATGTGTCATAACCCTTCCTACTCACAAAATAAAAGGTCACTTTTACCACTTGTATCGTAAATAACTATGTTTTGACATCTCATCACATTTTTGAAAAGCACCTATACCTCATTTTTAATCATTAAATGATGACTACTCTTGTTTTGCAATTAATTAATTAAATTAAAATAAAATATAATGGTTTTTGCGCATAATGGTCTAAAAGCAATTATTGTTTTTGCTTGTACAGAAAAAATATGTACAAGAAGAAGAATCAAAATGTATTGAGTTTGAAACGTAAAAATTTTAAGATTAACTATCTGTGAATAATTGGTTCTTATAATTAAACAATAAATACACTAAATATAAATCTATTTATAATTAATTAATTACTAGCATACATATTCTCTATTATTATATCGAAGGGAATCTCCTGTGAGTAAATAAATAAATAGTAATGCCCGCCATTAGAAACTAGTGGTGCTACAACAGCATGTTGCATCACTAACAGTTACTTAAAATTATAAAACCACAATTTGTGACTGTGATGACACATTCAGCCATTGCTTGTAAAACTCATTACCTCTTGTTGTATATTAAGCATGAAAATTTAATTCATTTCAAGATATTCCAACAACACAAATTCAACAACCTAAAATTTCAATTCATAGACTCAGAATCACTGCCCAACAGTGAGAAGTTATTTTGAGAATTTCAAACTTCTGTGTCACAGCATTTCAATGTTGTATTGCAATGTGATTACTCCTGAAAGATTCTACAAAAACAAGTACAGGAAATTCGAATTGGCAAATTCAAAGGTTTGCGTAATTACACTAAACTAACATATATTTCCATAAAATTTTGCATGATCTGCTCTAAAACACATTATTGAACTTCTTCTAACTGCACATCAATAGCTAACCATTGAAGTAATTTGATAACATTCTAAATTGGA